GTATCATTTTATTTATTAAAATTTTGCTTTTTGTTTGGGTATTTTTTCAACCTTTCACTTTCGGTTCCAGTTACTTCTGCTATAGATCTAACTTTTTTTTTTAAACTGAACCGCAACGATTAAATTACATATATATAATTCATTCTATAGTTGTTATAGTTAATGTTACTGTTTATACACCTCTGATATCTTTATTCATTTTATTGGTCTTGTATTATTTATTATCTTTCTTCCACTACTGCTTCTGATTTATAACAAATTGAATGTGTTGAAATGGTTTACACATGAATATCAGCTTGTGCACGCTAAGGTCATGTCCAGCACCCATTTAGCGTGGTGCTAAAAACCCATTTCTTAGCGCGTCATCCTCAGAAAAATAAAAAGATCATTCTGAACATGAGTCCTGCGTTATACGACTGATGGCAAAAAAACCACACAAAAAAACACAAAACAACAACAACAAAAAAGGTCTGAAGAAAATTATAATAATAGACCGTGTACACATTATGATAATAGACCGTGTACACATTATGATAATAGACCGTGTACACATTATGATAATAGACCGTGTACACATTATGATAATAGACCGTGTACACATTATGATAATAGACCGTGTACACATTATGATAATAGACCGTGTACACATTATGATAATAGACCGTGTACACATTATGATAATAGACCGTGTACACATTATGATAATAGACCGTGTACACATTATGATAATAGACCACGACAGGTTATCTTGATTGCACTTTGTTTCTCGGTGGTATCAGATTTGTTTAAAACGTTTATTTGCTTCCGAGCCCATAGATTTAAAAAACATTGCAGTTAGCTCTATTATTATTTTCTTTATCATGATCGTAGCGTTATTATGAACATTATTAACATCACCATTTTTAGTAGTAGTAGTAGTAGTAGTAGTAGTAGTAGTAGTAGTAGTAGTAGTAGTAGTAGTAGTAGTAGTAGTAGTAGTAGTATCATTAGTATTAGTAGTAGTAGTAGTAGTAGTAGTATCATTAGGTTATAAAAACAATAAAGATGATGATGATGATGATGACGATGAAAATGATGATATAATAA